TGTATCATCTCAGCTAGCCATCTTGATATTGTCCTGAAGAGTTTGTAGTCCAAAGCCTACAGTAGTGTTTGTCAGCTTAATGGTGTTATCATTGTCCTGGTGGAATCGTCTTTTTGGAGACTTCAAAGTTGCTGTTAGGTGTGGTCATGATTCACTGCAGAAAATCTTTTTCTTGGGGCAAGTTTTCTGGATAAATTTTTCTTTTTCTTCAGATGTCTCATTTGTCCAGTGTTCTTCAGATTCCTTAGCCTTCATTCTCCTGAAAGACAAAAAACAAAACCCTTCCTCAATCCTAACTTTGAGGAGGTTCCTTTCTAATCTTTATCAATTTTGATTTATGGTTTCTCCTTGAATTTTTGTTTTATTTTCTAAAGCTGTTCTATCATCCAGAGCAGTATGGTTTCTTACAATAGGCATTAGGTGTTTTTGTTTGTTTGTTTGTTGTTTTTAAATTGCTCTGGGAAGGAGTTTCTTCCGTGGTGATAGGAAAGGACTGAACTGAATTTGTCAGGAAAGGACTGAACCAAATTTGACATGGGGGCCTGCCAGAGACCCCTCAGGGAGTTTCTTGATTGCAAAAGATTACCTTGACTGTCACTTGTTGATCTACATTCATTAGTCCAAATGTCTGCCTTTGCCACACCTTCTTCATAATCCAGAAGGGAGGGGCATTCTATTGGGATTATTCCTAGCAAAAATATTGTTTCTAGGAATGCCCTGTTTACAGTCCCTTTTTAGGTGACCTTGTTTACCACAATTGAAACATTTGATGTTTCAATTTTTCTTCAAACCTCTGGAGAGATTTGGTTAGAGCCATCTTAGAGACTGGTCCCCAATTACAATGGAGGACCTGGTGGAAGGATGAGGCTAAGACCACTGGACAGCAAAGTAGAGCTAGAGGTCTGGAAATCTCCCAAGATCAACTTCTTGGAGAAGGTTCTTCTTCAAACCTCTGGAAATCACCTCTCCTATCCAAGCATCATCATGATCATGAGATTCAATATTAATTGTACCTCAGATCCATTCCTCCAAGGGTGCTGATCTTGCCTTTAATGGACTAATTATCCTTTTGCATTGTGCATTAGCATTTTCAAAAGCCAAAGATTTGATTATTATCTGTCTAGCTTCTGAATTTGGTATCATTCTATTTACTGCTGAAGTCAGTCTTTGTAAGAAATCAGTGAAGGTTTCTTTTGGACCCTGCATAATTTTTTGTAAATGATTCAATTTTCTTTCCTACTTCTTTAATTCTGTCCCAAGCATTCAAGGCTGCCACGCAGCATAAAGTTAGGGTGTGGTCATCATATAAAGATTGTCTTTGTATATCAGCACAGTTGTCTTCTCCAAGAAGTTGATCTTGGGATATTTCAAGACCTCTCTAGCTCTACTTTGTTGTTCAGTGGTCTTAGCCTCATCCTTCCACCAGGTCCTCCATTGTAACTGGGGACCAGTCTCTAAGATGGCTGTAACCAAATCTCTCCAGTCTTGAGGGATAATTCTATTATAAGTTGACCACAAGTTTAACATCTGCTTCATGAAAGATGAGTGGATGCCATATGAGAATATTGCTTCTTTGAATCTTCTCAAATCTAACATTTGCACAGGAGTCCAATCAGAGGATATTTATGATTTGGCAGTTTCAGTAAGTAACTTATCCAGTAAGTAAGGTTACTGGATAGGTTAAGGTTGGCTGTTTGAAAGCCTTAGGCTGTTTCTCTGTAACCTTATATTGCAATGTTGAGATTGGTTCTCCTTTAAATTCTTCTGTCTGGGTCTGGATATCTCTATGATTTATTTTAACAGGTTTTTCTAAAACTTTCATCTTGGCACTTACATTAACCAACTTTTTAAATTATAAAACAAAAATGATCAAATAAATAATATTTATAATTGATATTACATCTATCCCATCAATATTAATTATCCTCTCATTTAATTGTTCCATTTTTAGACTGTCTAATGTATTATCAAACAGAGACCAAACACCCTCCATTGTAAAAATGTTTCCCACTTTTTAATGTGGGAAAAAACTTTTTAACTAATTTTTTCCTTTAAGAAATCCCAATTGACTCACCAAATCTGCTGACAATGACAATTCAGATGACAGTGTGGCAGCAGCCCAAGGAGGGGGCCCAGGGAAAGCCAAAACCCACCCAGAGAGGAAAGAAGCAAAAGATCCAGCCATCTGCACAGAGGAAGTGTGCAAAAGTGGCTAACTCCTGCAGTTTTGGGGGCCCAAAATCCTATGGAGTTTGCTGCAGAGAGGCTGCAACAAAAACTTAGCCAGCAGGTTAGGGAGTCTGGCCCAGGTGGGCTGGAGATTCCAGTTGCGTGTAGCTCTGGCCTGAGCCACATGCAAGTGACTTTTTCATGAATTTATGCCCCAAAAGTTGGATAGCAGACGTTGCTCAAATTTCTAAAGGTCTCACCAACTCCTCAGCCTGAAAAGGCTTTCTAGCGGAAAGGCCTCTAGCTGAAAGGAGTTCCTCAGCCAAAAAGGCTTTAGTTCCTGTCTCCTCACACCTTACATACTTCTTTCCCACCCAGCCATTAAAGGTGTGTGTGTGCTTCCCAAGCACTGGGATTAAAGGTGTGTGCCACCACTGCCTGGCTCTGTTTCTCTCC